AGGAATGCCAGGGCCAGTGCGTCACGGAGCTGCCTCCAGCGCTCCCTGCGTGGTGGAGAGGGGCTCTGCCAGAATCCTCTGCTCTGAGCACTCCTCCTGCTGCTCTCCTGGCTTTTACCCTTCACATGTTGTATCTTCCTGCCACACGTGCTCAGTTCCCTGGGCTGGGCAGAGCAGTGAAGGTGCTTCAGCCCCTCTGTGGCTGCCCCTGTTCATGATCCCATGGGGGCAAAACTGCTGCCTCCTCAACGCCCCCAAAACCCCCTAAACAAACAAAAATGGGGTGAAGTAGACTCATTAGGTAATGACAGCATGAAGTTCATGACCCACTGATTTCTGCAGCGTGTTACAGAGAAGGAACAAGGGTCTTGAGTTGCTGAGGAGGCAGAACTGGGAGAGGGGACAGCATGGCAGGCACCCTAAAACTTCACAAAATAGGAGTTTAAAGAGGGAATTTCCTGGCTCAGACCCATGCAGGCACTTCTGAAATATCTTAGCATGTTGGCTGTGCATCCTCTTTTTGCTCACAGCAAAATGCCTTGTAAGCATTTCTGCTTTCCAGCTTTTGAGGAGGGATTATGGAGTTCTGTGATGAGTTCTGACTCTGAAATAGTCCTAAAACTCCTCCTCTGGAGAACAATCCAGACCAGAGCTCTGCAGCCCTCCTTTTTGCAGCAGGACTCCTCCAAACTGGAGTTCCTCCCTGGAACTTAGGGAGGAGAACATGGATCTGCAGCCTGCTCTGGATCTCTTGCTGTTTTTCCTTCTGGTGTGGAGTAACTTTGCTGCTGCCTGAGTTTGCTGCTATGTCCTGGCTTTCTGCTCCTGCGTGGGAAAAGCTTGCATGGCATCAGCTCCATCTCCAGGCCATCTGAGTGGGCTTGCTGCCCTTCCATGCCTCCACAGGGCTCTCTTCTTGCATCTTGCATGTGTCCTGGCTCTTCTTCTGCACTGATCCCATGGCTTGGGGTCCATCCAAGCCAAACCTACCCAAAGCACTTGGGCTGAAGCAGGGAGTAACATGAGAGGTGGAAGTTCTCATGAGGTTGAGGAACAGAAGGTTAGGGGTGGGATGTAGCTACAGGCATGTTCCTCCTGGGTTCCCTGCCCCCCTGTGCAGAGGAGCTGCAGGGCTGCTTCTCTTCCTCTGCATGGATGCCCTGTATGTGAGGTCTTCATCATCTGCATCCTTGCTCTGCATCCCCCTGCTCCTTGTGTCCAGCCACTCTTAGGAGTTCATTGTAAATAGGATTTTGTATTTTCTCTGAGTGTTGCTAATAAATTGTTGCAAAACTGTTCTTGCTGTTGTGAGGTCTGCTTACTGAAGTACAGCTGAAGGTTCTTCATCCCCTTGAAACAGAAAACAAACAAAACTGTGGTCTGATTTAGGAGAAGATTGTTCACTGAAAGCATTGGAGCAGCCTGCCCAGGGAAGGGGCTGAGTCACTGTCCCTGGGGGTGTGTAAAGATGCAGATCCAGTGTTTAGGGATGTGGTTTGGTGGTGGACTTGGCAGTGTGAGGTTTATGGTTGAACTTAATTATCTTCACAGTATTATTCTGGTTGGAAAAGACCTTCAAGATCATTGAGTCCAACCACTACCCCAACTCTGCCACGTCCACCACTCAACCCTGTCCCCTGGCACCACATCTGTCTGTTCAGGTGTCTCCAGGGGGTGGCTCAACCCCCTCCCTGACAGCCTGGATCACCAAGTCCCACTCCTGCCCCAGAACAAACAACCCCAAAGTTCACACCACGTCCCTGAGGGGGTTGTCCAAAGGCTTCTTGAATATTGTCACCTCGGTGTGAACAGACCAAGCACCTTCAGCTGCTTCTTGTACAGCTTCTCCTCTAAACCCTTCACCAGCCTCGTGGCCTCCTCTGGACACTCTCCAGTAGCTTTATATCCTTTTGGTGCTGTGGTGCCCAAATGTCCGGGGTTGGAAGGGACCTCCAAAGATCAAAGTCCAACCCCCCTGCCAGAACAGGACCAAAACCAGGGCAGGTCACTCAGAAAGGCATCCAGACAGGTCTGGAAAGTCTCCAGAGAAGGAGGCTCCAAAACCTCTCTGGGCAGCCTGTCCCAGGGCTCTGCCACCCTCACAAGTCACAAGTTCTTCTTCATGTTGAGGTGGAACTTCCTGGGCTCCAGTTTGGATCCATTGCCCCTCATCCCATCACAGGGCACAAGTGACAAGAGCTTGTCCCTGCCTTCTTGATGCCCTCATGTATTTATGGACATTAATTAAATCCCCCCTCAGTCTCCTCTCCAGGCTGAACAGCCCCAGGTCTCTCAGCCTTTCCTCCTCAGGCAGGTGTTCCAGTCCCTTCATCATCCTCAGCCTCCCTTGGACTCTCTCCAGTAGATCCCTGTCCCTCTGGAACTGGGGAGCCCAGAACTGGACACAACACCCCAAGTGAGGTCTCACCAGAGCAGAGGGGCAGGAGAATCTCCCTGACCTGCTGGAGACGCCCCTCGTGATGCACCCCAAGATCCCATTGGCCTCCTTGGCCACCAGGGCACATTGCTGTCCCATGGATCACTTGTTATCTGCCAGGATTCCAAGGTCCTTCTCCGTGGAGCTGCTCTCTAGCAGGTCACCTCCTAAGAGGTGAGAGAGAGACCAGGTGAGAGACTAGGCTCCCCCTTCTCTGCCTGTGACTAAGGAACATCCTACACAAGGTAAGGAGAAGCAGGTGGTTCCAGCAGAGACATCAGGCACTGGCATCTGATGACTGAGGGTCAAAGGGCTCCTTTGAGGATCCTGTTCTCTCTTAGACTTGTTTTAAGTGGTCACAGGATTATAAAACAGCTAAGTGGGGGCAAGCAAGTGTGGCAAGCAAAGCACCTGCTCAGAGGGCATTTTCTGAAGTAACCTGAAGTATGAAGCTTTCTCTAGAGTCAGTGGGGAAATTAAATGCCTCCTGAGAGCAATTCACCTGACCTAAATGAATGTCTACCCTGGAAGGTGAAAACTTGTCCCTCTCCCCATCAGCTCTGAAGGACTGAGCAGTCCAGGCTGTTCAAGCACTCAGAAATCCCAGCTGCAGCATCTTGGTGCAACAGGACTGTGCTCTTCGGAAGGAGCTGTGCCCAAAAGGCAGGTGTGAGATGGTTTCCTGAGCAGGTTGGTGCAGCCAGTGTGGACCTTCCTGCCCACAGTTCCCTTTTCTGCAGGAAGGAAATATTTTGTCATGTTTTGCTAGGCAACGTTCTGCTGTGGGACAGTGTTTGTAGAAAAATAACTGAATTGGAGCATTTCCATGCAAACAGTGAGGGAGCTGTGAGGATT